TGTCAACGCTCTCTGGTTTCATTTAAAAGAGTCGATCATCAGATATTTTCCAAGATTAACCTTCAGGGTGGAAATAGCTCGCTCACACAGAGGACCTATCCACATCATCATGTAAATAAAATGGCTCCGTCTGTGTTAAAATATATTTTTTAAAATTTACTAAACAGACTACAGTATTTTTACCATCTTTATTTTACTGTTAAATATAAATGTTTATCAAATAAACCATACCATACCACTTTTATTTATAAAGCACTTTAAACAGCACAAGGCCAACCAAAGTGCTGTACAAGAGACTGACACAACAGGACATAATTAAAATTACAGTCAAAAATACAGTCAAAATACATGAATGAATGAATGAATGAATGAATGAATGAATGAATGAATGAATGAATGAATGAATGAATGAAGTCTAATGTTACAACTAATCATGGATCCCTTTAAGTCGATGTTGTTTTCACTGATCCATTATGTTCACTGACACTGCATAAAATATTCAAGGATGAATATGAATTGTTTCATAAAACAAAACAAGACCTTGTTTCACAGTCAATAATAGAAACATCTGGATGAACTTATCATTTCTAACAGCTTACTGCAGCCACCAGTGAGATTTGTTAAAGGTCAGATTGTCATCACTGACAAGTGTACTTGTGTTTACAAGTGAAGCCACGCTGTTTTATTCCCCACAATTTCAAGTTTTACTGGCTGATACTTAAATAATGCAAGGCAATGTTTTATTAAGTCCGTGTGCTCCTTTCTGGTAGCAGGGTGTTTGGCACACAGTGTAATATGCATCAGTAATTTATGGTAATCATTGAATGGCAGGGAGCCCAGAATCCCACACCCTTACCACATTCCTGTATCAACTCATCCCTCAGCCCAGAGCTATCTGTTGGCTAAATTTAATTACCATCCCAACAGGCAGACTGGGGTGAAGTCGTAGCTACTGTAGGCCTTTTTACCCATTGTGGATGAAGATTAAAAAAGTTTTGAATTACGGGAGGCTCTTTCTTCTGCTTGATTCAAAGAGAGCATTTGAGTACTGTTTTCTACTGCTCTAAAGCCCCTGTTTAATATTTCCATCCATGAGCTCTTAACTTCCAAATATAACAATGAACAGACTAAATTTTGTTGCATTATTGCAGCAATTTTTAGAAAAATTCAGCCTAAAGGCAGGAACTTACGGTACGCCCCTTTTTCACCAGTGCCTCTACTACATGGTTCGACTTGTCTCTCCACGGTCCCAAGCTGTTTCCATTAGCATGGATTCGTGGAACCAGTTCCTTTTTTTAAAAATTACTTCGCTGTGATTACAAGTGTACCATGCTGATCTGAAAACATGACGACAGCAGACTGTTGGTTATGATTGGTTAGGGGGTGGAGTCACACGAGAGCTATTCTCCCAACAAGCCGAACTACCTTTTCAATAACAACGCTACCTTGTCCTCCATTGTTGTGTTGCTTATCTGTTCAGGGGTCGTCTTATACTATGTTTAATGGTGGCTGGCAGATAGCTTAATGGGGCATAACCATCACCAGCTGGTAAGGTGTGTGGCGTCAATTTTCGGACTTTGGAGCCACCCAACTTTTCAATGAACCCACCCACTAGAGCTGTTATTGAAGTGTAATGGAAAACCACCCGAACCGTGCTGTAGAGGCTATAGTGGAAAAGAGCCAATAGTTGGTTGTTGTTTTCTGCACCGTTTTTTAACAAAAGTGCTCCTGTTCATTGTTCAGCTGCACCACAGCATTCCACTCAGGCATCTACAGTTTTCACCACAGATTTGTTGATTCTCTATCTAAAACAACTGAGAGAAAAACAAGGTTTGAGTGATTTTTCACCAGGATTTAGACACTGTTTTTCTGTCTTTGTGGTCCCTGCGTGATGCATTATCTAAAGACTAGACCTGGTTTAGCTTCTGTTTCCTTAAATGTGCCTGCGTCTACTGTAACAGACTGTTTGTTCACAGCCTGCGCTGTGTCGGCCATGCTCTGCGAGGTGGTCTTCACTGGCGTCAGCAGCAGGGTCAGGACTGACGGCGTGAAGGGCGAAGAGGTCAAAGGTGACATGGAGTTTAATGTCGTGCTGGGCCAGTCGGAGCTGGTGGAGAAAGCCCTGCAGCTTTGTCATCTCTTGCCTCCAGGCGTCATGCCAGTGAGTTTGTATTCATATCACACAAACACACACCCTGTGTGTCTCATTCAATGGATGTTTAATGGAGCTGAACAGCCATTCATCCTGCTCTGCTGCCTCTATCTCAGCTAGAGAGTGGGTTTGGATTGTACTTGTGTGTGTGTGTGTGTGTGTGTGTGTGTGTGTGTGTGTGTGTGTGTGTGTGTG